AGGTCTTATGTTTAAGTCTTTTTTTTTTTTTTTAAGATTTTATTTATTTATCTGAGAGGGAGCGAGCAAGAGAGAGCGCGCGCATGAGCAGGGGGGAGGGGCAGAGGGAGAAGCAGACTCCCCGCTGAGCAGGGACCCTGATGTGGGACTTGATCCTGGAACTCCCGGATCATGACCTGAGCCAAAGGCAGACGCTTAACCGACTGAGCCACCCAGGCGCCCCTCTTATGTTTAAATCTTTAATCCATTTTGAGTTGACTTTTGCTCATGGTATAAGATAAGGGTCCAGTTTTATTCTGCCTGTGGACGTCCGCTTTTCCCAACACCACCCATTGAAGAAACTGTCCTTTCCTCATTGTATATCCTCAGTGCCCAGTCGAAGATCAGCTGGCCGTATATGCGTGGAATTTTTATAAGTTACAGGCAAGGAGGCAAAGTCAGGGACACTGCTTGGTTACAGACCCCACCTGGTCCTTCTTAAGGCGATCCTCTCTCCTGAGCCACCATCATCTTCATCTGTACCCCAGCTGATCCCAGAGGGTAATTAGGTCTTCTCTTCCTGGATTCTGGGTATAACCCTGCTTCCAGGTTGAGGCCCTCCTTATGGCCACCTTAGGGGTCTTTCCTGCTTCCTCAAACCACGGATCACAGGACGAGTGTGATCCTTCAGCCCTCGCTGCAGCCTCCCCGGACGTTCACAGGTGGTCTTGGACAAGGTCCACCATTCTCCCACGGCCTTGGCACCCGACTCTCCTGCCTCCTCTCCTAATTCCCTCGGCATCCTTTCCTGCCAGGAATGGTCTTTCATCTAGTGGGAATTTACAATTAATATCGCTCAGAATAGAAAGCTAGACATTTTTCTTTTTAAGTTGCTTATGGTAACCAGAGAATGGCTACTATTCCAGAGTCCTTCCTTTGTCGGTTGGTTGGTTGTTTCTTTAGGAAAAGGTCTTCCGAGGTCCAGGGTCAAAAGTTCTAGGCCAGCAGAGCAGAGCAGACTTTATACCTTTTTCATTCCTGAATTCTGAGCCCTGTGAGCAGGGAGCCAGGCAGTGTAGGAAGGAGGAAGGGGATGAAAAAGAGTTCAAGGAGTCCATAGAGCATGGTTGTGAGCCTCTGTTCTGCCAGTTATTAGCTGTGTGATCTTTTGCAAATACTTGACTCCTCTGAGCGTCGGTTTTCTCCACCGTGAAATGGGTATGACAATGCCTGTCTTACAGGGAGCTAATGGGACTTATATGAGACTTAAATGGGACTTCAGTTTATGTAGGGGGCCTAACTTGTGTGCTGGTGATGTGGGGTAAATGATCCTCCTTAATTTCTCTATCGCTTTTGGGGAAGATTAGTAGGATCTCAGTACAATTTGAAAAATACTAACGTCTCTCCTTTCCACCCATCTCTCTAAGCCCAAAACCTGATCTCCAGACCCATTGTTTTCCATTTCTCCCTCCTCAGTACCAAATTCTGCACCCAAGCCCTCTTAGTGACACTGATCTCAACTGGTATGAGAAGGATGGTGATGCGCTTCAACTCTCCTTAGAGAAATCTAGCTAAGACAACTCTTCCAGACTTACTTGTACTTCTATCCAGAGCATATCTGTTAATTCAAATGATTCTGGAATTGGTAGAATTCCTGTTATTTAAAAAAAAACAAAACAAAAAACTAAGCCTTCTGAGAGAAGCCGGCTTAGGGCAAGGGGCCATGGTGCATGTATAGGCAGATCAGTCATGCTTGGGGGTCACCCTCTTCTAGCTGTTCTTGCTTCTCCCTGATTCTTCCCGGGCTCTCAGATCACGCAGGAAGGACACTGACAAGTGGGCAGCTCAGTGGGCTTAGAGCAGCGATTCCATGTAGGGAGGCGGCCCCCCCACCGTTCACTGAGTTCTCTTCATATTGAACTTTTCAAACGACAGGTCTTGGGGTACCTGGCTGGCTCTGTGTGTAGAGCATACAACTCTTGATCTCGGGGTCATGAGTTCAAACCCCACATCGGGTATAGAGATCAGTAAATTTTTTTTTTTTTAAAGATTTTATTTATTTATTTGACAGAGAGAGAGACAGCGAGAGAATACAAGCAGGGGGAGTGGGAGACGGAGAAGCAGGCTTCCCGTGGAGCAGGGAGCCCAATGTGGGGCTTGATCCTAGGACCCTGGGATCATAACCTGAGCCGAAGGCAGACGCTTAACGACTGAGCCACCCAGGCTCCCCGATCAGTAAAAATTTTTTAAATTAAAAAATAAACAGCAGGTCTTTAAAGGTCCCTATGTGTATAAGGTACTTTTTCTTTTTACCATAAACTTCTTGTTTGGGAATAATTTTAGATTTCCAGAGAAGTGGCAGAGGCAGTGTGGGTTGTCCCCATATGCCCCTCACCCACTTCTCCAACTGTTAACGTCCCAGGTCCCCAGGGTGCGTTTATCGCAGCCCAGAGACCAACCCCACTGCTTTACTATGGACGAAACTCCGTATTTTGTTCAGATTTCACCAGTTCCACCAACGTCCATATTCTGTCCCGGCTTGCTCCCATCCAGGAGACCACGGCGCATGCATCCACCTCATCTCCTGAGTCTCCTCTGGGCCGTGACAGTTTCTGTCCTCTCTTGTGTTTTCGTGGCCTTGATGGCTTGGGGGAGGGCCGGTCAGGCATTTTGAAGGACGTCCTCAATTCGAGTTTGTCAGCTGCTGTTCTCCTGGTTAGACTTGGGCCTGGGGGCTTGGGGGAGGGAGACCACAGAGTGAAGTGCCCTCCCGCTTGCATCCTTGCACGGGGCGCTTGGGATCCGCCGTGGTGAGGTTCACCTGATAAAGGCGGTGTTGGCTCTCGCCGTGCTGTTCTTACTGAAAGGTGTTTTCCCCTTTGTGCAGCTGTTAAAAAACCTGCTCCTGCACCCCCGAAACCAGGAAACCCACCTCCTGGCCACCTCGGGGGCCAGAGCTCTCCAGGAACATCTCCGCACCCACCCAGCCTGTCACCAAAGCCAACCACCCGCAGCCCTTCTCCTCCCGCCCAGCACGCAGGCCAGGCCCCCGCCCAGCACGCGGGCCAGGCCCCCGGCCAGCCCTGCACCACCTCGCAGCCCTCTGCGCCCCGGAGGTACTCCAGCAGCCTGTCCCCGATACAAGCCCCCAGTCACCCACCGCCGCAGCCCCCGACGCAGGCCGCGCTGCTGGGGCACAGCAGACCGAGTAGCCAGGGCCCGCCCGCCCCGGTGGCACTGCCCAGTGAGCCTGGACTTGAGCAGCCGCCTCACACCCCTCCCCAGACTCCAACGCCCCCCAGGACTCCACCTTTAGGAAAACAGAACCCCAGCCTGCCAGCTTCTCAGACCCAGGCGGTGAGTAACCCTGAGACGGTGCAGCCACACACCGGAACCTTACCGAGACCGAGACCAGTACCAAAGCCGAGGAACCGGCCCAGTGTGCCTCCACCCCCACATCCTCCTGGCGCCCACTCTGCTGGGGACGGCACCCTCACCAACGCAGCTCCCACTGCTTCCAAAATAGTAACGGGTAAGTGAGAAACCGGCTCAGACCTTTCCCCCCATCCACACTACATTGCTTCCGGACTCTCCCCTTTCAGTTTAGGCTTTGGTTTTCAGCAGGGGGCAGCAAACTATCCCCACTGGCCAGATCCGGCCCATAGCCCATTTTTATAAATAAAGTTTTATTGGGACACAGCCACTCTAATTTGTTTACATACTGTCTTTGGCTGCTTTTGTGCTAACATAACAGTGGTATAGTCCTATCAGAGAGTATTTGGCTCACAGAGCCTAAAAATATTTACTACCTGGCCCTTGAAGTTAGCTGGCCTCTGATTTATAGTTTCATATGTGTTTAAGACCTATCTACCTTTACCTTCTTCTAAGTATAATGACCTAATGCAGGTGGAAGGTGTTGTACAACATGAGCATGAAATCCATCTCTTAGCAAATTCCTCATTAAGATACTTATTTTCCTTCTAAAGCTAAAAATGTTCATAGTAAGTGAAGCATTTCAGGTATAACTTTAAAAAAACGTGATCTGTGCCCATTTGGATGCTCCGGGAAGAGAAGTCTTGGGGCATGATCACATCAGAGCGTGAGCCTCAAGTGGTGAGGGAGGGGAAGGATCAAGAATTTCCCATAATTCCTGTGGAAACCTGTTTCGGGTGGTGGTGATTATATAGATTTCAGTGGGCTACCTAATGGGGTGGTTTGTTTTGTTTTGTTTTTTACAGGTAGTCTAGAACATGATCATTTAATTTAATTTTTATTTCTTTAAAAAGTTCTACCCCAAGGGCTCTAATACACTATTTGATTTAAGGATGGGGTGGATGGGGGTTTTTAATGTGTTTTTAAAAATGGCACTTAGGAGCTTTGAATCACAACAGCTTAGTTTTAAATTTCCTATGTGGAGCTAGTTTGTACCGCACAACTTCTCTGCTGAAATGAGCCAACGGTATCCCCTGGACTGGTATCCCAAATGATGAGGGTTAACCAAATAGTCTATCTTTTGATAACCCTATTTTTTTTTTCCAGGAATATACTACATAAGTGCACATATTATAAATGGTTAATAATTTCTGATGACACTCCAGCATTTATTTTTAAAAAACAAAGCCATATTGGTGTGTTTGTTTGTTTGTTTCCCAATAGATGCCCTCACAGGTGGGGAAGGTTCCCAGGACTAAGGTCTGTAACCCCCCCAAGCAGCTCTCACCACAGCTCCAAACGCTCCTGCTTAGCCCTGTTTTGCATATGTGCTTGTGACTATGTGCTCAGGAGCAGCTACTTGATGCCCCTGCCATCTGTTCTGTAGCATTAGACATTCCTTATGTTCTTAGCAAAAGCATCCCGAGCCGCAATGCTCCAAATTCAAGAGGTAGATGTCAGTAGATTGAGAACCCGATTTCAAGCTACTCTCATAAGATACGAGGAGTGTCTTCCTTCTTGTTGGTAAGCCTTTCCTAAAGGGTCCTGCTCTTCTCACTGATTTATCTCTCATAGATTGGCTCATCACATCCAACCAAAGAGGACTCGGGTGCAGTCAGCACAGAAAATTGTGTTCCCTGTGTCTTGAGCTTTAATTTTTTAATTGTATATTTTAAGTGCAAGTTAACTGCATGGAGCTTCTTAATTTGATGTTTGAAATTCTCGGACCAAAAAAAAAAAAATCTTCCTCCAAAGATCCCACACTAAATTCCTTTGCATTCCAGCATGCTTACATTTTGCTTTCTTAAACCATATGAGCTTTTCCAAGGGCACCGTGAGGCTCATCTACATCCTGCCTTTGGGTCCGCATTTGGACACCGTAAGGCTCTCATTATGTGTACCGTTGCTCTCAGCCACTGAGCTGAGCCTTAAACCTTTGGTGGGCTACTTCGACAGAGTATTCACAGCTTTGGTCTGAGTAAGACTTTCTGGAGAAACTGGAAAGGGAAACTAGAGTGCGACCTTTAGGACACAGGAGGACACAGGGATGAGTCCCCCTTCCCGACTCCTTATAACCCAGAAGCCAGGGGTTGCCTGATGGGGTGTGGAAGTCATGCACAACAGTAAAGTAACTAAGCCCTAATCAAGGCTGAGCCTTTTAACATGTCAATACTTGGGACACACCAAAATTCCCCCCCTCCACCCAGATCTTTCCTTCTTTTTAGACCGAGAACTACAAACCAGAATCATGTCTGTTATTTAATACCGTTCTCCACCCAGGTGTATTTATTCCAGAAAGCTATCTTACTGATCCGGTACAGCCCCATAAGGCTCTGTACTTTATAATTATCAGGTCAGGGAAATTTTATATAAAAACTACTTTTCCTTAAGATGTTAAGCTAAGTATTTAAAAACCAATCTATGTTATGAATTCTCCTAAACTCAAGAAATTCCAGGTCACCACAATGACCTTTGTATTGCAGAATTAACTTTTAATTGCTTAAAAATGCCCAGACTACCCGCAGAAGCGCACAAAAGGCCAGCATTTAGGACTCACGAGTCCGCTAGTGTTAACCATTCCGATATGGCTATTGGGTATTTCAACATAACTTCCAAGGAAGGCGTTTCTTTATTACGACATCGTGTGTTTTTACATGGAAAACCACAGACAGATTCCTAGAAACAGGTTATTCGTTTAGAGCAGTTAATCCCAAAAAAGTGGAACTAAGGCTTGGGCATTAGGATAAACTCTTGGGGGAGATTGTTGCTGCCAAGCACCTTTGGCAGTTCAGCACTGGCCCAGGGGGAACGGAGGGATTCTGGTGTCACTGGAATCTCTTCTTCATCGTCACTGTAGAAAGCATGACAAGGCTTTTAGCTTCGAAAGTAAGAGAGTGTACATCTTGCTGTTTTTCAAATAATAGATTCTAGCCAAGAGTGTTCTAATTTCAACATTTTATTAAATAATTTAGATGTATGACCTGCCATATTCAGTAGGAACTGAAATTGGAATATTTAATGGTAAGGAAAAGGCACCTGATTGGCCAAAGCATTTGTGCTACTTTATGATCATGTTTGTGCACTAATGCCTGTTACTAACCGGGCACCCTAACCCTGCCTGCTTGCATCCCTACTAACAGTGCATGTACTGAAGGAGGCTGGCTTCGTTCATGCTTGCTGTCAATCACCCTGGATACGAAGTGTGCTCACAGACGTGTGACAGGTGCTCACGCGGCTGGCCCTGTTACTTCTCTCACTTCTGTTCTTTTCTATACCAGGCAGGCTTGAGGTGTAGTAGAAAGAAGACATTGTAGACCCGGACATGCCCGAATTAGAATTGCAGCTCTCTGTGTAACATCAGATAAGGCACAGCCTGGCTGATCAGTAAGAGGGTGATGTTTGTGAGAATTTCTCCTGAAGGGATTAAATCAGATAAAATAAGAAAACATCTTACAGTTCTTAATATTCACGGGGTCCTAAGTAAACGGTAGCTATTTATGATCATTTTTATCTTGGAAAAAATAGATATTCAGAGTTATGTATTAGATTCATAGGTCAACGCTTTAAAAATTCATATGCCCAGACCCAGCCTTCTAGAACCCAGACACGGGAGGGCTGGGGCCCAGGCATCCATATTTAGATTCTGATGCCACCACTTGGTTTTCCCAATATCGCTTCTTTCGTGGGTGAAAAAGACAATGCTCAGGAGTAAAAGATATTTCTTAATACTTCATGATATTACATGAGCCTGAGAATACCCACAAGGCACCCATCCTCTGTGCAAGGATACACCATGTCGCTCTCAGGATCGTCCTTAAAACCACGACACTTTGCTGGTTCTCACAGTGTTCTTTTTTAAAACTAACCTCTTTTTTTGGGCGCCTGGGTGGCTCAGTTGGTTAAGCGACTGCCTTCGGCTCAGGTCATGATCCTGGAGTCCCGGGATCGAGTCCCACATCAGGCTCCCTGTTCAGCAGGGAGTCTGCTTCTCCCTCTGACCCTCCTCCCTCTCATGCTCTCTGTCTCTCATTCTCTCTCTCGCAAATAAATAA